CCGCTGCTCCTCCTCCTCCCCGCCCTCGCGTCTCCTCCTCCCCCCCCTCGATCTGCACGCTGCCGTCCTCCGCCACTCGCCCCACGTGGAGCTTGCGTAGGGCGTTGAGGAGCGCGGCCCGCGGCACAGGCCGTGTGATGTTGGGCCGGTCCTGGAGGTGTAGCATGTTGAGGATGTGCCTCTTCACCGCCTCCACCACGTCCTGCTGAGCCGCCTCCTCCTCCACCTCCTCCTGGTCGTGTCCCGCCACGTTGTCTGCGGTTCCCCCCTCGTTCCTCCTCATCCTGGCCAGGGCACAGGAGGGGCAGTGGGAGCCGGAGGCGGCATCCGGACGGACGCTCAGAGAGAGGGGCTGGAGTTTGGCCGCCGGGTCCGAAGTGGAGCTGCAGCTCTGGACCAGGACCAGGAGGGTCCAGCTGAGCACAGCCAACACAGACATGATGACAGGAGGTTCTTGATTGGCTGCTGGGCTGAATTTGGGGATGCTGCCGGATGCTGATGCACAGAGCAGATGAAGGAGGCTTGAGTGTCTTCTAAAAAAGTGTTTGAACAAAATTAATTCAGTCCTGGACGGTGAAATGAATTCACCTTCCCTCCTTCGTCTTCCTCCTCTCTTTGTCTTCTCTTCAGAAGTTTCAAAGCTGCAAAAGTCCACCTGTGAAAACGGAGGGAAAGAAAAAGGAGAGAGACTACACACACAATGCCGAGAGAGAGAGAAAATGAGTAATCCTTGTCTTTTTAGTCAGGGACAGATGGCTGGAAAAAATGTGGAGGCGTCACAAGAGAAAGAAAGGAATAAAGAAAACAAGAAGAAGAAGAAAGTCTCCGATGTGATGAATGGATGAACGCAGAGAGAGGAGAACTCTGGAGGATCCTTGTTCCCGGGGTGAAGTCTCTGCTCAGTGTGTTGGACTAAGTTATCCCAAACGAAGGGAGTTCCTCTCTCTCTCTCTCTCTTTCTCTCTCTCACTGAGTGGTGAATGCCTTCCCTCGCTCACCAGTTGAATGGTTTTAGCAGAGTGGGCTGGACTCTCTCTCTCTCTCTCTCTCTGCTCGCTCTCTTCTTTCCTTCCCTCCCTCTTGCTTCTCTCGCCCTGGCAGCCTCCTACCATAATTATACCTCCCTCCATCCCTCTCTCTCTCTCTCTCTCCTCTACTCTAGTCTCCTCCCATCTTGCTCTGTGACTCATAGCACTTCCAACTTCTACCTTTTCCCTCCCTCCTTCTCTTTCTTTATTTCTTTCTCCCCTCCCGCCTTTCTGTTAATGGAGCAGAGCCGGGATTCCTTTACCCCTCCCTCCCTCCCTCCCTCCCACGGTCGGCTGTGAATGAGTTACGTGTTGAGGGGAGAACGCTCCTGTCTATCAGTCGGTCCGTCTGACGGTCTGGATCTGTTTAGTCTGGTGTCTGCTGAGCTCGAGTCAACATGACGTCATGGTTCATGACTCGTCTCGTCGAGGCCAAACGCTGGCCGACTCGTTTTTTCTTCTTCTTCTTCTTTCTGTTTTTTTATGACAGCTCTTTTATTTCTGTGGTAAAATATTCTGCACTCAAGATTTCCCAACGTGTTCCATATCCTCGAACCTTCCTCACGAGAGAACCAGAGGGAAACCTTCCAGGTTCTGATCCGGATGTAAGAAGACCTCGTTCAGAATCCCATTGAGATCTGAAGCAAGTAAAAAGAAAAGCAATCCAGCCTCTGAACCGGGAGACAACCTCTTTAAGTGTGTTGAAGCTGCATTCTCTCTAGTGTCCACCAGGGGGCGACTCCTCTGGTTGTATTGAAGTCTATGAGAAAATGACTCTACTTCTCTCTTGATTTATTACCTCAGTAAACATTGTAAACATGAGTTTATGGTCTCAATCTCTAGTTTCAAGTCTTCTTCAATACAGCATGATGTTCATTTAGTACATTATGGTCCATTTAGAGTCAAACAGACCATAAAGCAGGGGATGCTTTAGGGCGGGGCTACACTGTGATTGACAGGTCGCTGGTAGTTGTCTGTGTTTCGTCTCACAACGTTAACCCTTTCAGTCTTTCATTTTGGTCTTAAAAATGTTTTATTCAGTGTTCAGTTGCACTATCCAAAAACCAAGTTGGAGAACAACAAAAAACAAGTTGGTGAAGAACAAAAAACAAGTTGGAGAAGAACAAAAAACAAGTTGGTGAAGAACAAAAACCAA